GCCTGACTCCCATTACAGTCCTAGTACATGCAAAATAACAATTAGATCGGTCATTGAATAAGTTATTCAATCAACGATTGGATAATTATAATGCAGACTATGTGGATATTTTTAAATATTAATATACCTACACAAAGGATAATGGTTTTTTATTACTAACAATTAATGGAATATGTGTGGAAGTAATTATTCCTTTAGTTTTGCGCCAGTCATTACAAGGTTTGCACGCCTTTTCGTATCTTTTTCTTGACTTTGTGGAGAGCGAATATTGCACTACGGCGGCCGCAGCTTCGGCTACATTATAACAACGTCTTGCGTAGGTACTCTTCTTCACTGATACCTGCTTTTGAGCCTAGTTGGCTGTACAGTTGAAAAGTACAAAGCATAAAATGCAAACTGCATTAAAAATGACACTGACTGTTTTAATTATTTTGAAATCTCTATGGAAACAAGTGATTTTAGCATGCGTGATTAGGTATCAAAATTTCTACATATGAATAATTTAATTTGGAAAAGTTATCTACATGTTGCGGTTTCAGGTAAAATTTTATACATAATACGTCATGAAAGTGAGTCCACCTGACTTGGAGGCATTAAAGAGATACTCGGACGCTGCGCGTCCTCGTACTTTTCAATAAACCTCCGCGTCATGTAAACGGCCACTTTCATGACTTATTATGTAAATAACTATTTATATATCGATACGCGTAGGAGGTGTAATTTTGATTAACTATAATAGTATATTAAGATACAAGTGTATAATCAAGTCTTTAAAGCACGCGCAACGAGTTTAAGGGCACGACGCAAAGCGGAGTGCCTTTAACGTTGCAAGTGCTTTAAAGACCAATTATACACGTGTATCTTATAGTATTTTTTATTATACCTGCAGTATAATTTAAAAATAGGAAATACAATGAAATCATATTGACGTTATACTCGAATACATGTTTAATTAAGCGGGCTGGGTGTTCGTAATTTCAAGATTGCCAAATGTCACTTGACGTTTGCTTATAAAAATCATCGTCTTTGTGAATTAAACAATTTCCGTTGAAAAAGATAATACACCGTCCATTAAATCGATTGTTGTAAAATCTAAACACACGTTGGTAGGTGTAAAATCCAAATCCAGTAAAGCCTATTATAAAGAATATGAAAAGTTGTTTCCATGGATGGAATAGGAAGTTACGAATAAAGTCTTAAATGCATCCATAATGCTGGCATATATGAAGGAAATGTCAAAGGTATTTAAATCTTCTATATTTTGGTGCATTCATTCAAAACTTTAAAGCAATGCTGCGATTAAAAAGTGGAACAGATTTGGAAGCATGCCCTAAATTACGCGCGTTTGTGAAAGCTTCAACCAAAGGATAGGTACAAAAGCCAAAGAAATGTTCTGCATTTACAGAAAGCGACCTAAGAGGATTTTTTATTTCATCCAGATGACAGTTTCAAAAGTCATACTTGAAGTATCGTTACTTAGCAACTTTAAAGCACGTGTGTTTTAAAGGCCCTTTTTCGCACGCATTTGAGTGTTTAAAACGGAGATTGTGATTCAGGTATAATAAAAAATAAAGTGTCAGTGATATCTAAATGCAAATAGATAACAATCTCTCGGTCTTGATTACTATAATCATGTAACTTTGACCTGCATATGTAAAACTTTTATAAAGAAAATGGAAATTTGGCCCAAATTGAAATAATTAATCAATTAATAATTCAATCAATGACTAATTGTTTTATGATTTTCAATACAGCATACTTACGTTTCATGAAAAACCTTTCTACATCTTTTATTGGCTCTTTGTTCTCCCTTCAGCCCCAAGCAGCTTGGACGATTAGACTGCGAGCGTCTTCTTCTGATATGTTTTGCGTATGATCTTCGTTCCCGTCCCGAATTTCTTCACAGGAAACCGAATTGTAAAATATCAAGAGGCAGGCAATTACGATTAGTAGTGAAGGTTTCATGGTGAATTAGAAACGCAATACTTCCTTCGCGCCAATTGTGTTTCATATACAAAGAACATCAACAGAGGTCAGAAGTGTCAATGACGCAAATGGATTTTTTGAAACTATTTATTATAATTTTTATTTTGGTATATTTATACACGGCGTCTGTGAGAGTTATATTTATTACTAATAAACGGAGTTTTTCAGCTAGCAAGGTTACATTCATCCCGACCTATAATAGATGAGAAGCGCAGTTTACATTTTTGCACGTTCCATTTTTTATTTTTTAAGAAGTTTTAGGATACAGTACGATGGATGAAATCTATTGATGGCTATAATTCAATAAATTCAAATTGAGGCAAAGGTTGAGTAACTAGTATTTGGAAACTATTGATGGAATGCAACAACCTTTAAGTACCTAGGAATTCGTCTGGATGGTACCTAAACCTGGCAAATTGATGTAATAAATTGTCAACGGTAACATTTCTATTATAGTATGGAGTAATATGAACTTTGGATCTATTAGATCTATGCAGGAATTGAAAGTTTGCTTTTCCGATCTTCTTATTAGATACAAGTTTCTTATGATACCTAAGACACCAGCTATGCGCATTTCAGCTTCTTCGTATGCATAGGGAAAATCCACTGCAATATTTTTATGCAACTGAAGCAGCAGACAAGATACAATGTCATCCAAGAAATTACTATAATTAGTTCCAACTGTTTCATAATTTTTCGACAGACAGCAATCGTTGATCGAGGATAGTTTCTTTGAATTGCTTATTTACATAAGGTAGGTATACTAACTTTTACCAGAAAGTGCTAATATAACCGTCTGCTGTTCAGCAATTTTCTTACAGTTTACAAGGCCTAACGACAACTACACCTGTCCATTTTAACTCTCTTAAATACATAGAAAATTATTACCTCATCTTACGACAAGTCACCACGGAGAAGAAAAAGGTAAGCGTTAGCAAATTTATTTAAAAGCGTACATCGAAACGAAACGAACAATTCTACAAATCAAAAATTTTACTTTCGCAATGCTGCATTTATATTATGCTTGATGTTGGGCGGACCTCCATCCTCTTCTCATTTACCTGCAACAAACAAAATTATTGAAACAAATTTTCCTTTTACAGCGGTTCACACAACTACTAAAGCTGGATTTACATTTGGAGCTTACCCCCCAACTTTCGGCATACCCCACCAACCCTTTGGTACCCTTTAAAGCACTTTGCGCCAACCGCAGTTGCATCATTCTGAGATATTCCACTTATTCTGCGATTTCGCGCAAATTCGTTAGACTCCGATGCCGATACAAAACTTACGCACAACAGGTACGCGGTAAGCAAAATTGCTAACGTAAAGATCTTCATGTTGACCTGTTGGACGTAACAGCGAAACTATGCGCTGTTCGAAGTCAATCAATTATTTATGCATCTAATTAACGCGTGGGGTTCGCTAATATTATCGGTCTGATAAAACTTAGGTATAGAGAGCTTACCGTGCCCAACTTTTCTGCACCTTGAAAGTATTCTTTCATATCCTGGATTGCAATTGACTTTAATCAAGTTCTGGTCATCTTTATGAAGGACGTTCATTCGCTTACGTCTGTATACCACTACTGGGGCTCCTCCAATTACATACGCAATCATAGTGAATGCACAAACAAAAAAGAAGAGAAAATTGCGAAAGTGCATGTTTCGGAGTGGACAGTGCTACTATGTACTAAGAATAAAAAATTGGAAGTACCTACGCGAATTCTAAAGGAAGCCGCAAGGTATGATATTCTATCAACAAGGCGATCGCTAAATAAGAGGAAATGTATTTATCTTTCTAATTAAGTGTTTTTCTAAAAAATTTGTAGTTTTCGGGTTTAGTCGAATGTTGTTAGAGATACACCTCCTGCCCTTTGGTCTAGGGGTATTTTTCCTTTAATTACAATTCCCAAGTATAAATTACGCAGTTACAATACCTATTAATCCAACTAATTAACCTTACAACGGTAAAAAGGATGTGGATTCCATAACCTCCAGACTGAGATAAACGGCAAACAAACCGCAAAACAAACTTTTAAAAACTAATTGATTGAGGTATTGACCTTCTTATTTTAGCAATAAATGGTTGTTGTACGTACCCAAATGTTTTTCGACACTTTCCGTTAACTCTATCGAATCCTTTTTGGCAGTTTACTTTAATAACAGCAAATTTTTTTAGATGCACTTTCGCACCTGCTATTATATCAAGTGCTAATACATAGACAAGCAGAAGTAGGTAATAGGAAATCCGCATGTTGCAGGCTACAGTTGGCATTCAAGGGTTAAATTGTCTGCCGAAATTAAATCAACTAAACGTCACCGCAAACATTAATCTAAATACATGGTTAATTTGATATGAACCAACTTCATGTGAATTTTCTGATTTAATTTACACACTTCCGCGCACTTGTTTTGATCCATACATGATCTATATGCACGATTGTACTTATGTGTAAATTATCGTAGGTAAAAGAGAAAAAGTTGATGGATCAACACCGATAGATTACATCGTGACTTCTTTCATTGTGCCACGACCGCCCTTATCTTTCGGAGTATATGCAGTACATGCGCAATTTCATTCGTGGAATTTTATTTTGGAGGGCTACGTGAATCGTGAATGTTAATTGAACCACTAACTTTTTCAGACGTGAATGTAATTAGTGTATACCCTAGCTTTGGGCCCATACACATATCTTGTGAGCTTTTGGTTTAGGCAAAAATCAAAAGTCCTGTGGGGTAACACCGGCTGATACTAGTTTGTACCTATTTTGTGCGCTCTATACCAAAATAGGTATGTGCAAGAAGGCTGGAAAGTACCTATATCAAAAGATTATTCACAGGTGCTAGATGAACAACAATGGCTAATGGCAAACCATAATACTAAGTTGGTGGCATGATGATTTTCATTTTTTAGTCATTTGGAATTAACGAATTTAAAATAAAATATGTGTGCCAGATGCTTTTTAATTTTAATTAAAGAATTTGAGGATCATTTTTGAGGTATTCGAAATGCTAAATCACCTCCATTTAGTTTTTTTATTATAGACCCAAGTACAATGAAAAGTTCCCTGTTATTACTCAGTAGTTAATTCATTTAACCCCAGTTAACCAATTATAAAGCAAGGATTTGCTCCATAATGCCCCATCTGCATTGTTTTTCTTGGTTGTGAGATTGCTTATGAAATTAGGAAAACTATTTTTGTGGAAAATGTTTTACTGACTCATAAACTTTCGCGAGCATACCATACCCCGAAGTTTTGTCGCAATCGGATGAGCGGTTTAGACAGGCATAATCACACTGTGCACATTTTAAATCCTTTGAAAATCTGTGTGTTAAGAGATCTCGTTTCAGAAAATTTGTTGCTACATTACAATGTGTACACTTTAAATCTATTGAAGAGTTGCATATTTTTAAGCGGTAAGAGTTTCTCTTATTCAGCTTTATAAAAATTACTAACTACGGGTAAACATGTTTTTGAAATTAGTTTGGGATTTACATATCGTAGAAGTATGAAAATTTAGTGGATTGAATTGGTTTTCCAAATAAATGGCATGCTTGGTGGAAATTCAAGGAATAAATTAAAAGGACGAAGGAAAATGAAATTGATTGACGACTTGAAGGAGGCAGAAGAAGGATATGAAGGATTATGGAGGAAAGCAAAGGAGTCGGTTTTGATTTCCTTCTGGACAGCGGGGTCGATAATCCCCTACATGACAGATATCATCTGTGTATTGTTGTAATCGGAAATCAGTAAGGGTTGGAAGCTTTTGAAAGGTGGATATGGAGATGAGTCATGAACTCAAATGAATTGATGAGATAAGGATTGTAGAAGTATTAAGTAGAATTGGAAAAGAAAGATGTATGTTAAAGATCATAAAGCCAAAGAAAATAAACTAGATTGGATATGTATTAAGAAAGAACTGTTTGGTGTAGGAAGTAATCGAGGGAACTGCTCAGGGAGGAAGGAAACGATGAGGAGGAATGAGGAAATTAGTTAACGACCTGAATGGGGGAGGATATGAAGGAGTAAAGAGACAATCTTTAATAGTTCCCTTTTAATAACAGCCGAGAATAGTTAATAATTTAGTTTTGGCACGTCACTGTGAATGTGATTATAGGGTGATGTAGTCTGGTCCTTCAACTTCCGTCTTGATGAGTCGATTCTTAGATAATAGAAGGTGTTATATCATTATTCCAAGTGGCATGGTGGTGTATGAGTAAGAGGATGTACTCTATCAAAGAAGTAAAGCTTTTCTTTTACAAAAAATTTCCTTTATGTAAGTGTAACTATTATTGGTATCCGTATTATTTTATTTTGAACAATTTACCATACGTGTATCATTGTATACCTTATGGTCTCGGATTTTCTAACTGTAAGGACCTAGTCCATGGGCCAGTCGACATGACGGTATAATTTGGGGGTACCAATTTTCCTTTTTACAGTGGTTATACAGGTTTATTAGGATGCCAAAAATCATGATTGCCATCTCAAAGCGGTAGCTAATAGAAATGGTGGCCCATCAAAGATGGCGGATGTGGAGTTTTATAAAGTAAACTATATCTCTGGAATTATTGATCCAATTTCATTAATCTTTTTTTTAATGAAAGCTCTGTACATGTGCTATAAATATTGTTATTAGTACTTTTTCGATAAAATCAACTGTTAATAAGTAATTTAAAAAAATTTTTTTTTTTAATTGTTTCCCGAATGTTCTTTACTGCCTGTATTAATACACAATGAATGATAAAATTATGCGCATATTATGCAGAATATTAGTGAAAAATATGCACAGTTTTGATATATATGCACACGTATACAAAATTATATATGTTGCATAATTTCTAATAAAAAAGGAATTACGATAAACACTAGAAATAAGATGTTTCTCTAAGTTTTCTGCACGAAATGATTGTCTCCTGTCGCTAAGAATTAATTTATAAGCACTAAGCAGAGAAACTATACTCTACATCAACTAAAGTAATAGGTGCATTAGAAATGGACAAACTATTGGGAGCAATTTCCAAACCTTCCACAATATCACCCATCATCACCGTAGAGAAAGAGAAAGATAAAATAGTTTGGAAATGATGAAATTAAACATCAATTAAATCAATAAATCTTCCTTTCGGCTTTTGCAGTATGTTTCATTATCGCGTCCCTTATAAAAATCCGACAAAATGTATTAAAAATTGAAATTAAAATCGATTAAATCTAACAACAATTTAAATACATCTTAAAATATGCAATTCTATCATGTAAATGCAAAGGATATCAAAATATACAAGATACGCAAGAATAAATTCGGTTTAATAAATATTGCAAACCGAAGATACACAAAATCTCATAAGACAACCAAAAGTAATCGATTATTCACAGCTTTAGCTGATCAAACAATTGAATTAAAATTAAAATAATTACTAAATACAAAAATCATTGTAGTTACGTCTATAGATATATTGTAGCCATGATCAAATAACAAATGATGATGAAATTGGTATGTGCGGATTATGTTTCTAAACCTTCACTTCTCTACTTTAATTGAACTTGTATCTCAATTTGGACGTCACTGGGTTCGTTGTAATTACAGATGTAAAATTGGCTCTTTAATGGTGAAAAAACTCCCTTTAACGAGTACTGGGAAAACCTTAAAGAAGGCTTCAGATAAGCGACGATAAGTACGTCAAAATCACAGAGATGCCATTCCGGAAGCAGCAAAAATATGAAAGATAACCCTAAGTTTGGCTTCCATATCACCTCACGTAGAATTACCAAGCTGGCTCTTGACAACTACCATTACGTAATGCTAATAACTTAAAGTGTACAAGCGCATGCAAACTGCCAACTTGTGGATACGTCACTGAAGAAAAGGAAGAAGGAGCAAATTTTAGTGTATATGAAACTTTTGAAAGTAACGATGGGGTTAATTTAGTTTTCATTAAATGTTAAGAGTTAAAAAAAATTCCGTTCGTTTACTTTATGCATTAGTTACTAATTGTTGATTTTATCGGAAATGTAGTTATGACAATATTGTAGCACACACAAAAGCTTTCATTTAAGAAAATGATGAAGTCGGACCAATAGTTCTAAAGATAGGTATAGTGAAACTCAACATCCGCCATCTTGGATTGGCCGCCATTTCTATTAGCTACCATTTTGAGATGGCAATTATCGTTTTTTTACATCCTAATGCATGTATCTAACCGTGGTAAAAAGGAAAATTGGTACCCCCAAATTATACCATTTCCTTAAATTTAGCCAGTTGGCCCATAGACTAACCATACCGTTTCAATTTCAGTTTATTAATTCACGGTTTCAGATCGTAGAAAACCTCGGACAATCGTGCGAGCCTCATGGAAAGATATGATGTTAGAATTGCCAGATTAGCATATATGAAGAAATTATCAACATACGTTATGAAAAACGGTCAATCGTATATTTAGATGAAACCTACAAAGAAGAAATGCAACGACGGTTGGATTACACAGATGTTCCATATACGAAAAAGATGACCAAACTGGAGTTGTATGAAGTAATAAAAAGATACAGATCTCAGTCTGATACAAATAAGTATACTATTGATTCTGTATTGGCAGCCCATAGACATTCAGTTTAGCGACTTCTGCCATATTATCACCCCGAAATTAGAGCTTATATTTTAAACAGTTGCTTCACATAAGCTGGACGATATTAAAAGGTTAGCAAAAAAAAATTTACCCAAGATTGTTCAAGTGTCATACAATCCAAAAAGGTGTAACGAATCAGAAAATGTTCTTTGCGTAAATGATGTCGTTATTGATTTAGACGAAGATGACTAATGAAAGCGTTTTTTGTTTTAGTGATTTTGATCGATGACAGGAATATACAATCAATAATAGGTATCAGATTGACAAATTGTACATATTCACCATATGTAATAATACCTAATTAAGAGTATATTATTAATTTTAATTTGTAAAGTAAACTCAGTCTACTTTAATAAACGATCATTATGTTGCAATTAAAATTATAAGATGAATACCTGTTTTCCTGAATTTGACAAACTGAAATCTAATGGAACTGGCCAGTTTTATATAAATAATTAAACAGAAAAAGTCAGCATTGAAAGTGTGTGTTTTTATCTGTGATATGAGTAGGTATTCTAAAACAGTAAATATCGCAAGCCACGTGATATACACAACTCGCTTTAATGCATTGTACAGTAGAACATTCAACTTGTAGACTTCTATGCGCTTATACACACTTCGATCATTCATTGGGAATCTAGAGGGTGGGTCCAAAGGCGCGCATAATTACCAGATTTATACCTATCTTTATTCATAGCACAGCGATATTGAGATGAACAATAAACACAGTGGAAAGTTATTCTACTTTCCCCCGATTACTATTTACAAGGCCTAACGACAACTACTACCCATTATAACTTTTAAACACATGGAAAATTATTACCTTCCCTTACGAAAAGTTACCAGAGAGAACAACAAACTAAAGCGTTAGCGATTTTATTTAAAAACGTACATCGAAACCAAACGAACAATTCTACAAATCAATAATTTTACTTTCGCAATTTTCCATTTATACTATTCTTGATGTTGTCGGACCTCCATCCTCTTCTCATTTACCTGCAACAAACAAGATTATTTAAACAAATTTTCTCTTTTGCTTGGTTCATACTACTATACTAAAGCTGCATCTACAATAAATTGGTGCTTACCCTCCAATTTTCGGCATACCCCACCAACTTTTTGGTACCCTTTAAAGCATTTTGTGCCAACCGCATTTTGATCATTTTGGCGTAGCCCACTTATTGCTGATACAACATTTAAGCACAACAGGTAAACGGTAAGCAAAATTGCTAACGTAGATATCTTCATGTTAATCTGTTGAACGTAACAGGGAAACTATGCTCTGTTCGAAGTCAATCAAATATTTATGCAACTAATTAACGCGTGTGGTTCGCTATTATCGATCTGATAAAGGTAGGTACAGGAACCACCAGCTCAGAAGGTCAAAGATGATACATCCCCACTATTCATATTCTATTAATTGCACCTATTGGGGCGCCACTGAGCCACATTGGTTCCTCCTGCAAATACTCTTTCGTATCCTACATTACAATTTACCTTAATTATGTTATTTTATTGTCATGGTTTCGCTTCCATTACATACGCTATCATAGTGAAAGTGCCAATTCTAGAGGAAATCGTAAGGTTTCAGTATGATGCTCAAAACGAGTTATCTAAATAAGAGGAAATGTATTTATCTTTCTAATTAAATGTTTCTTAAAATCTTGTGCTTTTAATCGAATGTTATTAAATGCACCCCCTGCCCTTTGGTCAAATGACAGTTTGCCTTTAATTACAATTCCCCCCTATAAGTTACATAACTACAGAATTATTAACTAATTAACCTTAGAGCGGTAAAAAGGATGTGGATTGCATGACTTCCAGACTAAGATAAACGGCAAACAAACCACAAAGCAAACTTAAAAATTAATTGATTGGGGTATTGACCTCCTAATTTTAGCAATAAGATTGTAGTTTTGCAGTTATCAATTTACCGGACTTTTTTTGTCAAAAATTCCTATGGAAAGTGGTACTTTTTTTACGATTTTTACTGTGCGTTTCCATGGCTCAATTTTTGAGTGACAGTAAATCGCTAGTGTCAATAATATTATTCAATTATGGGTTATCTATATGCAAACAAATTTCGTTTACAACACGTGTTGAAAGTGTTTTTTTTTTCATGAATTTGCCTATTTCACTCGGGCAATTATCACTTTCAAAACTCGTGCAAATAAATTCAGTTTAGGAGATGTTCAACACTACGCAAGTTGAAAAAAACACCTGTCTTCTGCATTATTTTCATTAAAAAAATGAATATAATAACGAATATAAGGGTAGTAACTAATGTGGTATCCTTTTGTGTACATTCCTAGTATTCTTCCACAACGTAAGATTGCAGAAGACAATTTTTTAGGTATGGCAAAATGAAAACTTTTTTGCCCTTGGGCTACTCAAAACAATGTTTTAGTTTTTCTGTTATAAATTCGTATAGCATTTTCTTAAGAGAGTTGTGAACGTGTTTGAAATTGGGTTGAAAAGCCCTAGTCGCGTTGAAGACACCCAAAAGAAATTTGACCGTTAAGCAATAACATCCAGAAAGCATTGTGTGTAACATACGTGTACATTTTTCTGCATTTATTTTTCACCCTTTCTTGACCTTCTGGACAAGCGGGAATAATCAATCTATGCTGATGTATTACGTCTGGTCGCATTGTGTTGTCAAGGTCGCCACTAGTTGGAATTTCATCTTTGGCAATTGCTACTGAATGGCAATACAACAATAGGAAGGTAACCGTTACACAACAAATCACTCGGTGTTTACATTTTAAAGCTCTTATCGACATCTACACGCTATTAAAGATGAAATGGAAGCTGTCACGCTGAACCCGTTTGAGACATGAAAATTAAAAAAACTTTCATTTGAAATTATTTCAAATATTCTGATCTGAGGTTAATAAAAATTTGTTTATACAGGGTGTTTGTGTGCTACCGTCACCTTAAATTTTTTTAAATGACAACCTAGGTCAAAGTTTACTGCATTATTTTCTAATGTAATGTAATGATTAAGGTATACTTAGTAAGAAAGAAAAAGAACCTTCTGTGACGTATCACATGACTTATTTTAGAGGTCGCACTCACTTGCTGTATGAAAAAAAATTGTTTTAAGTCTCAGACGATGTGTAATAATTTCAAATGGAAGCGTTTTAATTTTCATGTCTATATCTTAAACGGTTTGAGCGTGAGAGCTTCCGTTCCATCTTTAACCTCGGCGCTATAGCCAAGAAATATGTGAAAATTTGTCAAATTGCCGTGGGCTCTATTTTTCGAAGGATCACGATGCCTTCTTGCCTAGCGTAAAATTTCAGATATTTTCAAATGTTCACAACTTTGGGATACACTATCTTGGGGTAGAAATTCTGGAAAGCTGTAAATTTTTTTTGGTGTGGTTCCAAAAACGACACATTCTCTGCTCTTGGATTATTTGAAAAAAAAATGTTTTTGTTCCTTCTATCATTAATTTGTATAGAACTTTCCTAAGAGAAAGTTGTGACTTCACCTTTGTCTGTATCCGGAAAATTCTGATGAAAATTACAAAAATTTCAAAGTAGCTGAAGGCCTACTCATTGAGGGCACCCGAAAGAAACTTAACTGCTAAATAATAAAGTTACGTCTATTAAGCATTTAAAACGTACAACTTACGTAAAAAATTTTCTGCATCTATTCTTGACCCTTTCTTGACCTTCTGGGCACGCGGGTTTAATCAAACTACCCAGACTTGGTAGCGTATCGTTGTCAGGATCGCTACTAGTTACGTTTTCATCTTCGGCAATTGCTACTGAATTGCAATAGAACAATAAGGTAACGGATACCAAACAAATCACCAGGAACGATTTCATTTTTAATACTTCTTGCTACGAAGCAAACTAATAACGGAGACATTCGCTTTCGTCGTTGCTCACCGCGAAATCAGGCCATGGTCTATTAAAATTTACAAGCGATACCGATTTCTACATTTGATCCGTGCACAAAAACTAGAAAATAACCAAGACTCGGAAAGTAACAATATTTTACATTATTAGCCAGGTAAGTGGGTTTTTACTGGCGATAGGAGACGATCCTAAGAAAGAAAATGGTTGTAGCAGGTCCAAAATTAGTGGTAGAGGGGACCAGAACAAGCACTTTTTCCTCGACTTTTTCTAACTAAGCTGTGGGCACAAATAGTTATTTGTACAACTAGTTTTGAAAGTGATACTTTTTCATGAATTTGCAGTTTGATTAATGAGGGCGAAGGTGCAATTCTTTACCAGACAAAAAAGATGATCCGAAGTTTATGAAATCTGTATTCTTTCTAAGTTCATAAACAAAAATGTTTAAACAACATTTCATCTCTAAATTGCAGTAGCTAGAGACATATGGTGTTCGATTAATTTCATCATTTATTTGCGTGTATAGGTCTCGAAGCAATTGTCACAGTTTGCAACATACATTTTAACCAAATTTATTTTATGAAACTGCATACACAGTATGTCAGTGGTGGTAATATTTTGACTAAGCAAGTTAAGTTACTTTTATGACAGTGATCATAAAGAATTAATTTGAATCCCATAAGTTTCTGTTAAGATAATTAACTTTTTTAGAAGCGCTGTAAATTTAATTAAAAAAAAAACTGTACAAAATGGTTAAGTACATTACAATAATAAAGTAATAAATCCACATCCACAGCCACGTACCTGTGCTGACGAAAACGCAGTAAAATGGATGTAAGATAATCCTATACG